GAAGTACAAGAAATGTAACTACACGGGATTAATTAATGACATTTTCATCTGGTTTAATTTGAGTATAAGCATTTAGCAAATTTTCCTGCCCTGTTGACTGGATGCATTTGTGTACATGTATTGTACACTGCCGTTAAAATTTTTTGTTTTTTTACAACTTAATTCTTTTATTCAGCAAGCATGCATTAAATTGATCAGAAGTGAAAATTAAACATTTATAATGTTACGAAAGATTTCTATTTTCAAAGAAATGCTGTTCTTTTGAACTTTCTATTCATCACGTAATCCTGAATTAAGGTTTCCACAAAAATATTAAGCAGCACAGCATTTTCAACATGTTTCTGAATCTCCAAATAAGAAAATTAGACTGATTTCTGAAGGATCGCTGAAGACCTGCTTCTGAAAATTCATCTTTGCCATCACAGGAATAAATTATACAAACCCAATTCCAAAAAAGTTGGGGCACTGTACAAATTGTGAGTAAAAAAGGAATGGAATAATTTACAAATCTCATAAACTTATATTTTATTCACAATAGAATATAGATAACATATCAAATGTTGAAAGTGAGACATTTTGAAATGTCATGCCAAATATTGGCTCATTTTGGATTTCATGAGAGCTTTTTTTTTTTTTTTTTTTTTTTTTCATTGTGGATTTTGTCTTCGGTGTTCGTGTTTCCCTGTGACGTAGTTTCCTAGTTCTTGTCCACCTGGTGCGTGTTAATTGACTCATTAGTTCCCTTTGTTTGTTCTATGCATATAAACCCTGACTTGTACCTTTCCCTTGGTTCATCCTACTTTGCGTTAGTGTATGGTTGTGCTATTCTCCTGTGTTTTTCATTGAAGTCTGTTCTAGTATCATCTTCATCATGCGCTTGCATTCACACAGCCATTCCATAACAGAATTAAAACACAAGACCATAATTTCAAATTGTAGTAATTTCACACTATTGCTGTTTTTACTGTATTTTTGATAAGCATAAACATTCACTGTTCAGACCGCACAGATGTGTACATATGATCCCATAAGAATATGACTGATTACTGTCAATATAAACAAACCATTTGTTCTGTATGAAATCTGATTCAAACGCAGACCCTTCACATATGTCAATAAGCATGTGTTCCCATTACCAAGCAACACATTACAGACAGCTCACTGTGGAGTACTATGGAAACATATTTACTTCTCGCCAACGCCATTATACTTGATCTGTATTAACTGAGGATAAGAATCTACTAAACCCTCTCTGACCCTCTTAAAAGCTTGCTGAGCAGATTTTAGTATTGTGCTGTGGGGCACACAGGGGCCTGGTTTTGCTTGTTAACACCCTCCTGTTCTTGTTTTTAAACTGCTGTAGGTGGGAAAATTAGAGTCTGGATTTTATGATCATAAAAATTTTGTTTAGTAAAACATTAAATGCTGTATTATTTTGTAACAAGCATTGCTGTCAGTGCTAAATCTAGAAGCCTAACACGCATAATTTTGTTTGTAAGACATATATTTCTTCAAATATTCAGTAACAGTAACATTGTGAAATATTAGTACAATTTAAAATAGCTGTTCATTAATTGATTTATTTATACAGAGTGTTGAAATGATTCCATGATTAAATCCAATGATTTGATAGTAAACAGGCTGTTACTTGTGTTTTGATGAGTATGTTTGATGGTATCTTGAACAAAGTAGCGTATTGTTGCGTAACAGAAAGTCTCACTGCGTGGCCTGCTCTGCTGTGTCTATGTATGCTTTATCTGATCTCTCGAATGTCACAGTGCCTCATTATCATATGACCATCACTGCTGTATGGTACATCCTGATTTCGTGCTCATCTCCCACATTTTCTTTTCTTTTCATCTCTCTGTATATACATTTTTTTTATTTGTGTGGTCCACACAGTAGTTGGTACCCTTTCTCTGTCCATATGCAAGTTATCCATGTGTGTTTTTCCTGGTGTTGCAAATGCAAACAAGCCCTCAGCTCTAATTTGGTTACATCAGCAAAGTGACTTTTAACTTCAAATTTCTTAAAAAATATCTTTATGCAATTTGTACACTTGATATGTTTGATGGAAGGACTTAAAGATGGGAGTTTATTCTCCAGACGTGAAATGTCTTAAACAGCGATGGTATTGGATATCCCAGAACTTCTGCATCTGTGTGTCTGTCTCTTGGCTGCTCAAAGTAGACGAAGCTGTGCAAATTCTGTGTGGAATGTGCATGCATACTGATGTTGATATGTATGTGTGCGGTGAATTCAGGTCATTTAGGCCATTTTTTGATGTTGAGATGACCAATTTGACCTGAATTCACCGTACAAGATGGGTATTACCTACTGATCTCATTTCATCAGTTCCAGATCAGCATAAGTTCTGTACTTATAATCCTCCAAAACGTCAACGTAACTCTCAATCTCTCTCTTTTTCCTGTTTATATCCACACAGCATGTCAAAGACATCATTCTACAGTCCAACCCTCTTTTGGAGGCCTTCGGGAATGCTAAGACAGTGAGGAACAACAACTCCAGTCGATTTGTAAGCTCCGATCATCCTCCCATAGATTTATTTTATTGAAGAAAAGTGACAGCAGATGTCTTGAGTTGGGCTGCATATTGTCCTCATGATAAATTTAAGAGGAACACAGTTGCACTAGAACCAAAAAAAAAGGGTGATCATCCAGTTAAAATACAAAAAGAAAGAAAGAACAATGTTTTGCCACTGCAATAAGAACATTTGATTAAAAATTATGTTATCGTAAGGCTTTGACCTAAACGTGGCAAGTACTGTGCTTAAAAATGCTCGCAGGCCAAAGCGGCCATTACAAAATATGTTGAACGCAGTTTACTTGCAGTTCTGCTTCATTATGCCCATACATGTCAGTCTTGTTTTTGTGAACAACAACTCCAGTCGATTTGTAAGCTCCGATCATCCTCCCATAGATTTATTTTATTGAAGAAAAGTGACAGCAGATGTCTTGAGTTGGGCTGCATATTGTCCTCATGATAAATTTAAGAGGAACACAGTTGCACTAGAACCAAAAAAAAAGGGTGATCATCCAGTTAAAATACAAAAAGAAAGAAAGAACAATGTTTTGCCACTGCAATAAGAACATTTGATTAAAAATTATGTTATCGTAAGGCTTTGACCTAAACGTGGCAAGTACTGTGCTTAAAAATGCTCGCAGGCCAAAGCGGCCATTACAAAATATGTTGAACGCCACATTTACTTGCAGTTCTGCTTCATTATGCCCATACATGTCAGTCTTGTTTTTGTTCTCTTTGGACTGGTGTAGTTTTGTTGTAAAAAGAATGGATTAGCAGTGGTACAAATGGCTTGTGTAGTGGATAGGAGAATTTTGTGAATGAAAAAGCATCTAGATGAATTCAGGGGTCCTACAGGGGCTGGTAGTGTTGTTACAGATTTAATTCTGGACATGTCTGGTAAGTGCGGACAGCTGCAGCACACATAAACGAACAGAGAGAGACATTTAAATGATAGTGAAGGGTGTTTGTGTGTGTCAAAGCACCTATTTCCTCTTATTTTCAGTTCTGGGCATAGACATCCACCTGCAGTACATCACGGCTGTGCCTTTTTAACATTCATCTTCCCTGACAGGGGAAATACGTTGAGATTCAGTTCAGTTCCGGCGGTGAGCCAGATGGTGGGAAAATCTCCAACTTCCTTTTGGAAAAATCACGTGTGGTGATGCGGAATCCTGGAGAGAGGAGCTTCCACATCTTCTACCAGGTGCGAATGAGGACACGTGGTGGGCTTCTTCTATCAGAAGATGTCACTGTGATCATCAGTAGCATAAATACACCACGTTATGAGAAAAAATTGAATGAATAACCGCAGTAAAATTCAGGAAAGGGAAGATGGAGCCATTTGGCTCTGAAAAGCAGGTCACGTTGTTCTGAGTTTACCACTTGGGTTTTTTGGAAGAGGGAGAGTTTGAGAGTTTTCCTATGGTTACGTTTATTTAGGACTTTTTCTTCAACTGTGGACACTTTTGGCCTTGCGGACTTTTAGAAAATAAACCCTCCTAAAAGACTTTTCGCACTCTCACTAGTTTGTTTCATTTGTCTGCTAGCATTGTCCAGGAGATTTTTTTTTTCCAGAAAGTCATAAATCCCACCACAGTGTCATTTCCTCCACATCTTAAATTTTGTATTGTTTAATGGTGTTTTGTAGTGAAAATGACGGTGGTGGAAATGACATTTGAAAACTTTTTGTAATGTTTTTGGATTGTTTTGACTGGCCAGGGTTAATTTCAGAGCTAGCATTTCATGTATCCTATATAGAAATACACACCATTAAATAATATTTTCAGACTTTTTACATTAAGGTTCAGACATTAAGGGTTGGTAAAATTTCTTTTAATGTTTTTGAAAGGTCTCTTGCTCAACAAGGCTGCATTTATTTGAGAAAAAATATATGCTGATTTGGTGCTCAAGTAGCATTTCTTACTTTTGATCAATGTTGAAAATTATTGTGCTGCTTAATATCTTTGTGGAAACCATTATAAATCTTTTCAGGATTCTTTGATAAATAGAAAGTTGAAAAGAAACACATTTATTTGAGATGAAAAACTTTAGTTTTTTTAATGCATTCTTGCTGAATAATGCATCCTTTCTTTAATATTTTCAGACTTTTTACATTAAGGTTCAGACATTAAGGGTTGGTAAAATTTCTTTTAATGTTTTTGAAAGGTCTCTTGCTCAACAAGGCTGCATTTATTTGAGAAAAAATATATGCTGATTTGGTGCTCAAGTAGCATTTCTTACTTTTGATCAATGTTGAAAATTATTGTGCTGCTTAATATCTTTGTGGAAACCATTATAAATCTTTTCAGGATTCTTTGATAAATAGAAAGTTGAAAAGAAACGCATTTATTTGAGATGAAAAACTTTAGTTTTTTTTAATGCATTCTTGCTGAATAATGCATCCTTTCTTTTAAAAAAATAAAATATAAAAAAATTTCTGACACCAAACTTTTGAATGGTAGTGTATATGAATTGACAAACTTGATTAAACTTGATTGGAAATGATGCATAATAACTATAATAAACTATAATAAAACTGATGTTTACATTGATTTATACTTATTTTCTTAATATTTCATCTCATATTTAATCTCAAGCATGCTTTTCACTAACACTGTTATTTGCCTGGTGAAGAAATATCTAACATCATATAATACCTTTACAAAAAACTTTATTAGGAGCTTAATTTACAGTAACAAGTTTATGAGACCTTTTTAATGTGACCTTAATATAACACAAAAAATTTGGGTAACACTTTAGTTTTGGACCAATTCTCACTATTAACTAGTTGGTTATTAGCATGCATATTACTAGAATATTGGCTGTTTATTAGTATTTATAAAGTACATATTGCCTTATTCTGCATGCATGACCATATTTTACATCACTTAATCCTACCCCATACAAAAATGTAACGACTACATCACTAACTATTAATAAGCAGCAAATTAGGACATTATTGAGTTGTAGTTAATATTTAGTTGATTGTGAGAATTGGTCCCCAAACTAAAGTGTGACCAAAATTTGAAAAACGTTTATTGGTTTTAGTACAAATCAACCCTTGGGACATAAAAGTGCTGAACTTGAAGAAAATATTACATCTTTTCACAGCTAATAGAGGGAGCCAATGGAGACCAGAAAAGTAGTCTGGGTATCACCAAACTGGATTACTACTCTTACCTCAACCAGTCAGGTTCCTACAAGGTTGACGATATTAATGACAAGCACGACTTCCAGGAAACCTTGGTAAGTATGATTTAGGCAGCTTGGTATTTCAGTCACACTCTGCTGTCCTGGGAGTCTTATGTAGCTGTGAAAATTGTACTTGTTCAAATATGACAAGTATTTCCATATTTGCAGACACTGTTGTTGTAACCTCCCTCTCCTCCCTCTGTCTGACCCCAGCATGCCATGGACGTGATAGGTATCTCAGGGATGGACCGCACCCTGGTACTGCAGATTGTGGCAGGAATTCTTCACCTTGGGAACATCGGCTTCAAGGAAGCAGGGAATTATGCTGCTGTAGAAAATGACGAGTGTATGTACATAGACTGAGTTTTGCATAGTTCCTCGTTTCGGTGTCCTCGTTTGAACTATGTGCTGTAGATTATTTAATCGCATGAACTCAAACTGTCTTGCCACACCATATTACCCCAGAAAACAGAGCTCTGTTTATGCGCCTGGTATCTGCATATTACATCACAGCCTAAAATTACACAGTGAAACTCTGAACTTCCAGCCCACCCCTCTATTTCCTCTTTCTCTTCTTCCCTTCAAGTGTTTTAAAGCTCTCAGGTGGAGCAATGCACTTGATTGACAGAGGCTGTTTGCTGTGCTGGGAGCAGACAAAGCTAATCAGTGCTTTTCCTGTTCTGGCCCTTCCCAGCCCCCTAACCCCTCTTCCTGTCTGCCGCCAGTGGCTTTCACACATTTAGTGTTGGCTTGCCAATGTAAAAACCACACGCGGCACAAATGCTCGGCTACCTGCTTATGACGAAACCGTATGCAAAGAGCTCATGCATCCTGGGAAATAAATCCTATGGATAACATCTTCCACTGCAAATACATAACATTTTAATAGAGGTCTTTGATTGACACGATGTAAGGGTAGTTTTGAGAGCCATGGACAATCCCGGATCTTTTTATAGTTGCATTGTTTTGGGAGACCAGTTAGTGCGCTCTGTTCTACCACACCCGAAACAACTGAATAATGAGCCGTACTTAAGCAGTATGACAGAGTGCATCACTATCAGGACTGAATGAGGGCAGTGAGTCAGTGACGAGGCGGGGTTCATCAGAAATGGAGCGAGGCGCAGGGCTGTTAGTGACTTGTGTCTCACCCGTGTCTCTCCTCAGAGGAGCAGTGTGACTACACCAAAAAACATGAGTCACATGAGTCAGATGTATTGAAAAAGAAAAGTTTTATAATTGTATTATAATCTAACATATTATATTATATTGTTATATAATATTATACTGTTTTTAGATTTAAAATTTCAAATAAATGCTTCTTTTAAACTTTTCCATCATAAAATCCTGAAAAAAATGTATCACAGTTTCAACAAAAATGAATTTTCAACATTGATAATAATAAGAAATGTTTCTCAAATCAGCATATTAGAATTATTTCTGAAGGATCATGTGAGTGACGTGACATGTGGCCAAGTATGGAATACTCGGAATTAGTGTACATCCATTTGGATGTATCCATCAGTACCACACAGCAGTGAACACACACACACACCGTGAACACACACCCGGAGCAGTGGGCAGCCATTTATGCTGTGGCGCCCGGGGAGCACCCTGGTACTGCAGATTGTGGCAGGAATTCTTCACCTTGGGAACATCGGCTTCAAGGAAGCAGGGAATTATGCTGCTGTAGAAAATGACGAGTGTATGTACATAGACTGAGTTTTGCATAGTTCCTCGTTTCGGTGTCCTCGTTTGAACTATGTGCTGTAGATTATTTAATGGCATGAACTCAAACTGTCTTGCCACACCATATTACCCCAGAAAACAGAGCTCTGTTTATGCGCCTGGTATCTGCATATTACATCACAGCCTAAAATTACACAGTGAAACTCTGAACTTCCAGCCCACCCCTCTATTTCCTCTTTCTCTTCTTCCCTTCAAGTGTTTTAAAGCTCTCAGGTGGAGCAATGCACTTGATTGACAGAGGCTGTTTGCTGTGCTGGGAGCAGACAAAGCTAATCAGTGCTTTTCCTGTTCTGGCCCTTCCCAGCCCCCTAACCCCTCTTCCTGTCTGCCGCCAGTGGCTTTCACACATTTAGTGTTGGCTTGCCAATGTAAAAACCACACGCGGCACAAATGCTCGGCTACCTGCTTATGACGAAACCGTATGCAAAGAGCTCATGCATCCTGGGAAATAAATCCTATGGATAACATCTTCCACTGCAAATACATAACATTTTAATAGAGGTCTTTGATTGACACGATGTAAGGGTAGTTTTGAGAGCCATGGACAATCCCGGATCTTTTTATAGTTGCATTGTTTTGGGAGACCAGTTAGTGCGCTCTGTTCTACCACACCCGAAACAACTGAATAATGAGCCGTACTTAAGCAGTATGACAGAGTGCATCACTATCAGGACTGAATGAGGGCAGTGAGTCAGTGACGAGGCGGGGTTCATCAGAAATGGAGCGAGGCGCAGGGCTGTTAGTGACTTGTGTCTCACCCGTGTCTCTCCTCAGAGGAGTGTTGTGACTACACCAAAAAACATGAGTCACATGAGTCAGATGTATTGAAAAAGAAAAGTTTTATAATTGTATTATAATCTAACATATTATATTATATTGTTATATAATATTATACTGTTTTTAGATTTAAAATTTCAAATAAATGCTTCTTTTAAACTTTTCCATCATAAAATCCTGAAAAAAATGTATCACAGTTTCAACAAAAATGAATTTTCAACATTGATAATAATAAGAAATGTTTCTCAAATCAGCATATTAGAATTATTTCTGAAGGATCATGTGAGTGACGTGACATGTGGCCAAGTATGGAATACTCGGAATTAGTGTACATCCATTTGGATGTATCCATCAGTACCACACAGCAGTGAACACACACACACACCGTGAACACACACCCGGAGCAGTGGGCAGCCATTTATGCTGTGGCGCCCGGGGAGCAGTTGGGGGTTCGGTGCCTTACTCAAGGGCAACTCAGTCGTGGTATTGAAGGTGGGAGAGAGCGCTGTACATTCACTCCCCCCACCTACAATCCCTGCCGGTACGAGACTCGAACCCGCAACCTTTGGATTACGAGTTCGACTCTCTAATCATTAGGCCACGACTTCCTCATGTGACACTGAAGACTGGAGTAATTACTGCTGACAATTCAGTTTTTATAAATTGTAATAATATTTCATAAGAACATTCAAAATCATTCCAAAAATCTTACTGACCCCAAACATTTGAACAGCTACTGTATATTACGTATTTAGAAACACTTGTATATACCATTGTGTGCAATTATCATTCTGACTCTACCAAACTGTTCTCTCTCCTGCTCATAGTTCTGGCATTTCCTGCCTTCCTGTTGGGCATCGATCAGCATCGTCTTAAAGAAAAACTCACCAGCCGTAAGATAGATGGCAAGTGGGGGGGCAAGTCCGAGTCTATAGACGTAACTCTGAATGTGGAACAGGCGTGTTTCACACGTGACGCTCTCTCCAAAGCCCTGCACGCTCGTGTTTTTGACTACCTGGTGGAGGTACAAGCCATATACACCTACATCCCTCGTAAAAACAGATGTTAGAGAAGAAGTAAGAACTGAATGGTTTCCTATTTTTCTTTAGTCGATCAATAAAGCCATGGTTAAGGACCATCAGGAGCTGAACATTGGAGTATTGGATATTTATGGCTTTGAGATATTTCAGGTGAGTATTTTATTTACTCTTCACTAATGGAGTGATTCTTTTCACAGCAGTTAACTGGATGTGTAGCTATCCAGTCTAACTAATGAGAGAAGATTACTGATTTTTAATTGCCTGGATTGGTTCCCCTCTGCTTTTGTAAACAGATAACATATTAACAGAGGTGTAAAGTATTGGAGTAAATGTAATTAGTTACTGTACTTGAGTATCTTTTCGGGTACTTTGTAGTTGTACCGAGTATCAAAGATATTAACAACTTTTACTCTCTACTTCACTACATTTTTGAATGAGTATCTGTACTCTTTACTCCACTACATTTGAAATGAGTGTTGCAGTTACACATTACATTTTGCATGGACCTAGCTTTTTCTGCAGCACTTTATTTCTGCTACAAAAGACGTGATATTGCCTATTACAGGTCACTGAAAGTACTGCAACTTCTGCGTTTTGCCCTTACTCACCCAAACTTTATGACAACACAGTCAACAAAGCTACTTTATGTGAATGCGAGTTCCTTAGCAAGTATTTTTGAATCAGAGGTGTTTTATATATGAGATGAGGACATGACTGCAGCCGGCAATGAGGCCCAAACCAGCACATCCACTGCAAGAAGGCTTCGGCTTTTTAAATTTTACTTAACATTATTTTATTTTTCCATTATACTGAAGAGACCTTTTTTTATTTATTTTTTTTCAATTTTGAGGTGTTCTTTTTTTGAGGTTGAGTTTTATTTTGGTTTTAGAAAATAAATGTGATTGCTCTCCTCACAAATCAACTCTTTCTTGTTTTTGTTTCATGCTCTCTGTGCCTTGCCCTGGACTTTTATGTCACTTCCTGTCTCCCGTGGTGTTTGTAGTCAGTTTGTAGTCTGTTTGTTCATTGGTTCCCCTTGATTAGTCTCCCCAGGTGTGTCTTATCTTGTTAAGCTTGTTATTCCCCTGTGTGTATATATAGCCCTAGTTTCTTTAGTTCCTTGTGAGTTGTTGAATGTAATGGTTGTCTGTTTGCCAGTCATTCTGTTCTTTGTTCCCTTTGGTTTTTGGCTTATTGTTTGTTCTAGTTTTTCCATTAAATACCTGCACATAGATCCTTGCCCCTGGCTGTTTTCTGCAGCTTCTCCACAACGTTACAGTTTTTGACTGGCGTGTCTCTTTGACTAGTGCATCTTTGAGCCTATATTTAGTATAAGTAAAATACTTAAGTACTGTTAAAATCAGATACTCTAAGACTTTTACTCAAATTGTTTTGGAATTGGTGACTTGTAACGTGGAGTAATTTTCACTGTAAGGTATCTGTACTTTTACTCAAGTATGATTTTTAGGTACTCTTTACACCTCTGCATATTAATGAGTTTGACTAATCTGATAATCTCTTGATTTAGCATCTGGTATTGAGACCTGTAAGATAACTCCCTGTGTTGTCTTCACTAGAGGGAGAAAGCTGGATAAAGCTCTGAAAACAGAGTTTTCAACCCTTTTAATTTGATGAATTCTTGATCAGCAACTGTGCATTTTAAATGCTATTGATAATAATAACAGTTGAAACATTGTTTGTGATGGTTACATTATCACTGAAGCTTAGTTGCAACTTATTTGTTTCCTTTGTCACCACTACTGTGTTATTTGTGGTTCATAGTGACAGTATCTCTTTTCTGTTTTCATTTGCTTTTTAGAAAAATGGATTTGAACAGTTCTGTATCAACTTTGTGAATGAAAAGCTGCAGCAGATTTTCATTGAGCTGACTCTGAAAGCTGAGCAGGTAACATTTCATTTCTCCCCCTGTGCTTTTGTTTTTGCTGTGACGTAGAATTTGTGTCTTAAATCTGCTGCACCCTAGTAAAGGATCAATTTCATCATCTGCTCTTTTCCTCTTTTCAGGAAGAGTATGTGCAGGAAGGAATCCGATGGACTCCCATAGAGTACTTCAACAATAAGATTGTCTGTGACCTCATTGAGAGTAAAGTAGTAAGTTTCACTAACTGTGCAAAACAAACATCCAGCTATTGCAAAAGCTGAATATGATCTTTCATTGTCTAGTATGGTAAATCAATAAAACTAACATTAGCTCAGATCAATATCCACACAAGCCTCTTTTCTCTTCCCGTGACTGTTTGTCTAATGGCCTCAAAATGCTTGATATGTGTCCAAATTCAATTGGCTTTACTCACAGAGAAACTAGACACACAGAGCCATGAAATTCACAAGGGAAAACCTTAACCATCCATGTCAGTGTGACAGCATGTGAGAAAGTGCTTCTCTGTGTCACTGCTAACAGCTAATGCTTGTCTGTGAGAAATTTACAAGCTGTTTTCCTTTCGTTGGTCTCTGTGGATTGAGAGAGACATCTGAATTTTCTGACAGTACAGACAGCTGTGTGTTCAGACGCGGTGTGTGTCAGATTGTTTTCATCCAGGTTAATGTATGATGGTTCATTTCCTGAGTTTTGATTAAGCTTGAAAGGCTGTGAATGTGGTCTAAAATGGTTTCAGACACTTTAGACCAATATTTGTAAATGTTTTATATAGTATATTATACTAAAAGTAAAATACGTAAAAGTTAATGTCCTGCAATGCAACATGCTATACCTTATCTAAAACCATACTACTACACAAGTGTATACTTCTACTACTATTACTACTAATTAAAGATTTTATTTGTATGTCACCTTTCATACTTAAAATCAAGATCAAGGTGCTTCACAGGTCAGAATATTTAAAAAAAAGAATGAAAGAATAATTAAATAAACGAGTGAATAAATAAATTAATAAGATGGGTGAAAACAGTAAAAATCAAAAAGAGGCTAAATAAAACCTTGACAAAAAAGAAGAGGAATGAAATAATAATAATAATAATTCAATAAAATTATTAAGCAGCCTAATAGGATGTCTCAAAATGAATTTTTTTCAAAACTAAACATTTAAATGAAAACAAAAAAATAAAGCTAAAAACAATTCAAAATATTAAAAGAACAAAAGGTATGAGTATAATAATGATTCTAGCATAACACTAAGCCAAACACCAAAAAACAACTACATATGTGTATGTACAGCCACACACATATACATATACATATATATAAATACATTCAATATATATTATTTCATTTCCATTTTGTATGTTGAAGTACTGAAATAACTCAAATTAAGTAAAACTAAAACTTAATAAAAACCCTGTATAGACATAATAAAAAACTAATACAATTACAACATTACTACAACTGTAACTAAAACTAAAATAGATAACTAATACAAATCAAACTACATTAGTTTATCAGTAATCCTAAAAAAATAACACTGAGCCAAACACACATGCTAAAATAACAACAACTTACTGACACATAGTAAGAAATGGTTATAAAAAAATGAAATAGAAGTGAAACTAGTAGGAAAGAGGAGAAATAAAAAGCAATACTTATCCTTTGTCGGTGTCCTGCCCGGTGGAGTCGCACGGTAGAGTCGATGGTCTTTACACTCTTCGGTCTTCACACGACCGCAGCTGCGACCACTTCCGCGGTAAACTAAGCTTCTTTTTTATTCATTTAACAAAACTCAAATTGAATTCAGCTGGACGCACTTTCCTGTTTATCACAACAAATGGCCAAGCAAAGCACACGACACTGACAAGGTACGCGATACAGTACGAGACCAAACGCGATTTAACAAATGTAAATGTAACAAATCATGTTTTTTCATTGTGCATTCCAATTAATCTCAATCAAACTGCAGTTGAGTTATTTTTATTAGGTTAAAAATAACAAAAAAATACAGCTAACTAACACAATAAAACAAAAAAGTTGTTTTTGCAAGCAAACTCTTCATATATATATAAATATGTATGCATCTTTGATGGGTTGCATAAATAGTACAGTAACTACAGTCGCTTTTTCAAGCGATTTTTTTCAATTGCAGACCACCGATGCTTGGATAAGTACATAAGTAAGTACATGTAAGTAATTGGTTGGTTGAACTGACATTCATCTGAGCATCTATTGGCTCAACTGTGGCTCAAACAATGACTTGAGTTTCTAACCCTGTCTAGAACACACTTTTTAAATGATCTTTTATGTGTGTCCAGGTGTCTTATGATGCAGAGGGTTTCTGTGAGAGGAACAGGGACGTGCTGTTCACTGACCTGATCGAGCTGATGCAGAGCAGTGAAATGTAAGTGTGTCACTTCCATCATAAAAATCAGCCAGTCTGTGATCTCATCCAACAGCTGCTTGTAACAGACTCTCAGAGAACTTGAAGATCTTAATATATGTAAATCATGGGTATAATCAGGCCAGCTGAAGGGCCAATAATAGAAGTATGCAGGAGATTGTCATTGTTTCTTAATCAAAAAGGCCCCTCTGTCTCTCAAGGGAGTAGGACTTGTAGAGCGTGCCCGTCGCTCTTATGTGCTCTTGGACCTCTTTTGGGCCCCAGAAGCCATCTGTGCAAACCGTCTCCTCCTGCAGCCCTTTGTGAAGCCTTCTGGGGGTCTGCTTTCAGACGGCATTCAGACACGTGTCATGCGTATATATGCACCACACACACAGAGTTCACGGGGTAACTTCCTTCGCACCGGCATGCAGGTCCTATGCACAGAACAGAATAAAAAGAAATCTTAGTTGTTGATTCAGTGACAAAGCAGGGCTTCCTGTCTATCTGCACAGATGTAGCTCTGCAGCTCCACTCCCTGACCTTTAACCCTATAAAGAGGTTTAAGAACAAAGCATGCTCATGTGAAAGCTTTCTATTTGAGATAACACAAAACTTGTCTTTAACCTAAAATATAAGCTTGATTTCTGCATTTAAACCGGTTATGTGTAACAGATACTGCAGAGTATCTTATTAACTTATTATATGAGCCCAGAACATTTTCCTTAATAAAAGTAGACGCCTATGTTTTTTTTGTTATGTAACGCACTGGCATTTGGTACAAAATCTGCTCAAAGAGCACACTTGAGCTAAACAAGCTCCACATACAATGACATTTTATGAATATTAAAATAGAGATACTACAAGGAAACCAATAATAATGCATTTACTGCAGTATGCTGAATCTCTGTAAAATCTAGTGAGACAAATGGACAGTGAGCACCAGAGATTAAAATTCACAGGTATTCAGACTGTCCCAGTGATACTGATCTCCGAAACATTGTGCACTGTGGCTCGGAGGAATTCAAGTGACCCTGGTCTGCAGCGGAGAAATGATTCAAAACATTCCTGTCTGTTACAGTCTGTATTTCTCCTGCTGTATTCTTCTCTTTTTCTACCAACCCCAAATCATTCCTGTCTGTTCTAATTCTCTTTATTAGACCTTTCATCCGTGCCCTGTTCCCAGAAAACCTCAATGCTGAGAAAAAAGGCAGACCCACTACAGCAGGGAGTAAAATCAAGGTGAGATGAGTCTCATTTCTGCGTTGAGGTTCTTTGCAGGTCTCTGAACCTCTGTAGGTTCTATCTGTTTCTACTTATATACTACACTGGCTGGCTGTCTGTGTAGATGAAGTGGTTTTCAGTTTTAATTGTGTTTTTTTTCTCTCTCACATAAGTAACTCTGTTAGGGTGTTTTAGCTCTGTCACATCCTCTTTTTCTAATGACAGAAACAAGCCAATGATCTGGTGAGCACCCTGATGAAATGTACACCTCACTACATCCGCTGTATCAAACCCAATGAGACCAAGAAACCTAAAGACTGGGAGGAGAGCCGGTGAGTGTCTACGGTCATGGCTAAGTTGAATTCTTCCTTCCTAAGCATTATTAAAGGGGCTATTGATTAGCATTATTATTAAAGGGGTCATATGATGTTGCTAAAAATAACATTATTTTGTGTAATGAAATGTGTTTATGCGGTTTAAGGTTAAAAAACACATTATTTTCCACATACTGTACATTATTGTTTCTCCTCTATGCCCTGCATTTCTGAAATCGATTTTTACAAAGCTCATCGGTCTGAAAAGCGAGGTGTGCTGTGATTGGCTAGCTATCCAGTGCATTGTGATTGGCCGAATGCCTCAAGCATGTGACGGAAATGTTATGCCCCTACCATACTGTGATGGCGTGTCCCGGCTGAGCAACGAGACAAAAACATTAAAACCCATTATAAACAAGGCATTTGTTGTATCCAGTGGGGACTTTAGAAATTATGTATTTGTTGCATCCATAATTACGGATTATAATGATTTATACTGTCTTCTTACGCGTTGCGTTGCATCGCGCCGCGTAAACATAAAACCATGTCTGTATTTGTGATTGGAGAAATGACAAACTACAAACGTTACTCTACACTGCTCAAAACTCGCATTTGAATTGTCAGTGGCAAATCCTTTAAATGAAAACGTACTTGCAGTCTGTGAGTCAGAACAGTCAGCATTGTAGTCTTCTCTTCCAGGATCAGGAAACAGTCCTCCATAAAATGTGCTGCACACATCTGAATATTTGGGTTGAAGTGTTCTGGAACAGTGTTGTAAATACAGCTTAACCACTGATTTCTAGTCGTGTCCTCTTTTGGAAGACCTAATAAAGTAGTTTCGCTTTCACAACGAAACACAGCGTCACATTCGGCGGGCTAGAGTGAGCAGAGGCCGGGGGCTAGATTGAGGAACGGCTGGAGGGCTAGAGTGAGCGGGCTTGCGGCAACCACATGTGACGACCCCGGGCTGGACTCTGCTTCGTCCACGGTGAAAGCCGATCTGGCGATCCACAGCTTGAAGTTAATGTATTCCCTCAGCGACCAGCACATATCAGCTCCAGGCATGACGAAGCAGATATCGTCCTCTTTTAGGCCAAATAAAGTAGTTTCACTTTCACAACAAAACACAGAGTCTCGACATGGCGGCAGCAACAATACTACAGCGAGAATAAAAGTTACGCCTTCTTTCTTTGCGTGAACATTTTGGGCAGCGTTATGCAAATCTTCCCACATAGTGAGGTAGATTTGTGGGGGGGTGTTAGAACGAGCCGTTTTAGGGGGGCGTGGCAGAGTCTTAACTTTGATAAAGAATATCTCTTTGGTTTTGAGACTTTAGTCTTTGCAACTTCAGGGATCTTATCTAT